CCCCCCCCCCCCTTTTACATAATTCCAGGATTAATGTTTCGAATGCTAAATAGAAACTAGTTAAACTGGTAATGAAAAAGAGTTTAATTGTGTCCTCAAAAACGTATTGCCATCAAATATTTTTACTTTTACTTTATGCAATTGTTTTTCTAGTTGTTTACAAAAGTTCCATGTATTTTATAGGTGTAGCTCAAGGAGTTGTCACTGGCATAAGAGGATTGTGTAACGGTTTAGGACCTGCTTTCTTTGGTTTTATTTTCTACCTCTTTCATGTTAATCTTAGTGAGTCTAATCAAGCTAAACATCCGCATCAATCTAATACATCCCATATAGACATGAATAACACCATTCGTGTAAGTACTATTTAATAATTAAATAAAAACAGATATATTGATATACTCGATACCATGTGTTTATTTATTTTAGACAAAAACATCTGCCTCTTTTTTAGCCTAGTGTTGATGATGGTCAGGAAAGGAAGTGAAATTTGCTCTGATATTTCCTTGAATCTTTCCAGTACATTTTGATGAAACAAAAATATGATCCCAAAGAATGTATTTTTATACGCCCACATTATAATGGGGACCTATATTGTCGTCACCCATGTCCGCCCGTCGGTCCACAATTGGCTTGTGAACGCGATAGAGACTACAGTTTTCATCTGATTAGAATGAAATTTGGTGTTATCATTTATATTGATGAGATCTTGGATCTTTTGAGTTATTGCCCTTGATTTATGAAAAACGCGTCAAAATTTGCTTGTGAACACAATAGAGAGTACAGTTTTCATCCGATTTAAATGAAATTTTTAATGATGAGTCAAGATTGAATTTTTCCATCAACAGAATTTGAGTTATTGCCCATGACTTAGTAAAAACTCATCAAAATTTGTTGGCAATAGAGGTGACAGTTTATGTCAGAATTTTATTAAATAATGTGTGTTTGATTAAATCAACAATATCTTGCACAAATTAGATTTTTGGTATGATTTGACACAGATAGGTTACTGCCCTTGATATACTGAAAATGTATCAGGAAAGTGGGAGTATCTTGCTAGGCAACCACTTGTTCTGTATTTTTAATAAATTTGAATTTTGAAGTTTAAATTTGATTTCAGAAATTAGTACCAGGACCACCATTTGCATTTGGAGCTGTTTTAGTGATACTAGCTTTATTAGTTGCTATATTTATACCGGAAAATCCTCATAGTAATATACATGTAGGAGTTAAACCATGTAATAAAAAAGTTTTATCTATGGCTTTACAGAAAGACACAGGTAATATCATTTGTTTATAAATGAGTAATTGATACTGTTAACAAACTGTTGCCTTTTTCAGCTGTCCAGAACATGTCATACACAATGAAGTATTGATTAAACTTGAATATAGTCTTCCTTTGTGTAGCTTGATAAAGACAAATGTCCTTGCATGTCAAAATTTGATCTTAGGCTACAGTCATTTTTTTTTCAGTTTGTTGTCTAATGGATTTTAGGAAAAACTTAAAAAATGAAAAAAAAATTTATCATTTTATTGACCAAATTTAAAACATGCATCCACTTATTGTAAAGTTTGACTGTGGTTTCAATGTAATGGGCTCTTAGTTCATTTAACATATATTTCAGTAGTTAGTAAAAGACATGAAGAAGAACCATTGATGATAGAAGATGAGTCTCCAGAATTATAGCACTTGAAGCCTGAAATCTCTGATGTCAAAATTAGAATCTAGACAAAAGTGTTGACTGTTGTGTGGTCAAAGTTTTTTAGTAACCAAATGATAGGAAAGTGTCTTAAAAGAATGTCAGACACAGATGGATAAGACTTTGAAATACATCCAATCAAAATCACAGAAACCGTAACTGGTTAGATTTCCTGATGTGTCTGCTCCTTATTGATTTGGTGAATGGACAATTAGATGAATTATTAATTGTTAACTTATGATGTTATTTATTATGTTATATGTGGTGTTTAGCACTCTACTTTGCTTCCTGTCTGAGGTCAATTTACGCTTTTGTGCAAGGAAAATTCAAATTTTTTTTCTTATGTTGTCCAGGTTTGAGTCAGTTATACTATGTTCTGATAATACAGATCAACAACTTGGACACAAAAAAAAAAAAAACATAAGAAATTTAGTATTAAAAATTTTACTTTCAATTTCAAAAGCTTCAGTCACTCATACCCCATCAATGGCATGCATATCGACACCTAAATTGGCTTCAGACTACCTTAGAGAATAATGCTCAAATTGGTGATTTGTAATCAATAAACATCCCAATCAAAAACATTTTCTTTATTGTATGAATTTTATTCAATAGGTCAATGGTTAAAGTGTAAAATGCTTGAAAAGTTTCAAGTTTGAGATGTAAGTGTATTTAAAGGGACATTCTACTTTTTTAGTAGGTCAAGAATATTTTTTTTGCTCAATTTTTTACTAACAAAATTTAGCTGTTAAAGAGTAAAATTTTAAAATTTGTTATGCTTATTGACAGTTGTTAAAAACTACCATACAGATTTAAAGATGGGTTTCCTTATTTTCATTTATGAAAATGGAAATGCTAATACTAGTATGAATAGAAAACAGAGGTGTTCAAAATACTTGGAAAATTACCAGTTTGTCTCAGATGTCCATAATTAATTCATAATTAGCTAAATTAGAAGAGAATCACCAGCAGAATTCCAATGAGTGGCCGATCAAGAAAGGTCAAAAAGTCTTTTTTTGTTTGTCCAGACTGTATATACATGAACATTTATGATTGTTTAAAATCTCTTATTTATATGCAATAAGAACATGATGATATGATTAAGAATACCTAATAATTCATTACAAACACCAGTTAATCAATTAGTTTGCTTAATTTGACACTAAAAAACAATGAAACCTATCTTTAAGTAAAATAAATGCCTAAAAGAGAAATTTATCTCCTACATGTTCTAAAGGTTCAACTAATTAATATCAAGCCTTTATACAGCTAAACTGCTAAATAAACAATAAGTAGTCTCTGTTTTTAATTAACCCTTTTAAAACAAATTGATCAAGTAGATATATAGATATAAAAAGCATACTGAAATCTTTTCAGGTATAATTTATGATGTTTGTGAAAATGAAATATTATACGAAAAAAGCAGGATGCCCCTTTAAGATTACCAAGCATAATTTGTTTGAAGATATGATAAACCAGGCTACAAAATTTGACTCTTCACATAATAGTCAAAAAATTTTCTAATTCTTTTGAACCTCTAATTCAATTCTAATTCAGTTCTGGGGGTTATCATCTAATCATGCCTAAATGATACAAGCTTGTCAGTTAACAGCAAGATTCAGGCTACACAGAGGCTTTGCTTTACATGAAATGCTGAAATAAAGAATTAGAATGTTTCATGTGAAGTACTTCATGTGCTGAAGTATCCTATTTAGGGATTGTAAAGACACTTTCTAAACTTTTTATGTGTATTGGGGACACTGATAGCATCCTTTTGCATCATTCCAAATCGCAGTCAGACGTATGCAGTTCTTGCTATTCAACTAAAACTTAACGTTTTATTACGTCAGTGTCTCAAAATCTGCTAATATCTAAGGGTCTTTGATACAAGTTTCCCCAATACACATAAAAAGTTTACAAAACCTCTTTATTATCCATTTTAGAATATGGACTTTATGTAATTGGAATGAATAATCATATTTGGTCCTATTGAAGCATGGAAACATCTGACTATGTATATAATGTTTGCTAGCGTAAAATATGTACCGCATTCTTTCCTGTCTATGTTTATATATACTATATATATAATCATGTAATCAATATCATCTTGTAAAGAAATGCTTTTAGTGTGTTCAAACACCAAGTAGATGTGCCTATATATCAGGGTTGTTCATTTGACTATTTTTTGAAACATATTTTGAGTTACTTGCCATTTTTTAATTGAAACTAGTCAAATGTAATTACAGCAGATCAGACTTGTTTCTAGCTATTGAAAAACTTTAGATTAGTTTTCAAGAATATAATTCTCAAATTGCATGGAAATGATGGTATCAGAAATCCAAAGAGCTCAAATTTCCTACTGTTTGAAACATATAATGTGCTGGTACTGTTGTATGGCAAATTAAAGGTCATTTTCAAAATATCTGTTGAAGTATATTTTAAATGAACAACCCTGTAATAAATTGTTTTAACTGAGATTTTAGTGGTCATGGTCTATATGTTCTTGTCATTCATGCTTCCTTGTAAACCTTAAGAATTATTAGATATTTGCCATTACCTATTCTATTTCATCTCCTTTTCAATCGTTCAGAAAACTTGAATTGATATTTAAGCAAATATACTAAACACAACTGGGTGTAGCCTATCCATGTACACCCTTCAATTATGAGTTTTAATAGAGTTGGTTCAGCTACAAGCAGAAATATATTCTGTTAATGATATTTTAGCTCGAAATCTTTGATTATGCAGTCTACAACTGTTGATATTTTCCATTGAGTAAAAAACATCTTAAGAGATCACAACCATGTATCTAAAGTCATGACTTGTTTATCAATAGCTCTATTTTCTGTCTTTAATTATTTCTACACTGCCAAAATTTTTCCTACGCATATATTAACTTAATCTGCAATAAGAGATATTTTGGTAAATGTTGATTTTGTTCATTTGAAAGTAATTATTTTGTAAATAATGTTTAAGATGAATATTTGTAAATATTTTCTGAGTAATAAAAAAGTATAAAGATTTTTTACTGGAAAGACATTTTGAGATTAGGGGACCAATTTGACAAAAACTCAACTGGAATTCTGGAATTTACTTCTGTTAAGTTTATGTGAAATAGCACCCCACCATTCTAAGAACAGCACTATTATTAAATTCCTATGGTACATTTGGATGTCTACCTTAAATAGTTCCTTACATAAAATAGTTGTATATTAACAGCTCTCTTGACTGAAATATATCATTTATATTCATCAGGATAGGGCATATAATTCATTCCAGTATGAAATAATTAGAAAATTAATGATATGTCTGATTAACATTGTTACAATATAATGACTGTCAATGTATCATTAGCTTAATTTATCTTCTATAATTCATCATGTTTGTAATAATTCCTCATGACTCAATGTTTTCCAGCTGAATAAAAATCTTTTATCGTTTAGATTTTTTTTTAAAAACAAAATCCAAATAAAATGGAGGGTAGATTGTAAATTCAGAAGAAGATAGCTTGCCAGGCAAGGTAACATACGCCCACTACCAGCTGTCAGAAATGATAACAAAATCTTAAGTGGCTTAATAATGAATTTACAAATAATCTTAAAATTATCTATAAGTCAAGGCAAAAACCTGAAACAGTTCATCAAGTTATCATCAAATTCAAACATGAATAATGTCTCATCGATGTGCACACAAGAACAATAACTCTGAAACTGTTCATCATCCGAATATTACCAATTTCTAACTTGATTGAGATCTCATCAATATATTATATGCATACCTAGTTTCATTAAGATCAGATAAAGACTGTAGTCTCTATCGTGCCTACAAGCTAAATTTGACACGTTTTTACTAAGTCAAAGGCAAAACTCACTCGATGTTCACTCGATTATTACCATTTCCGAACTTGACCGAGATCTCATCAATATATACATGCATACCAAGTTTCATCAAGATCAGATAAAAACTCTAGTCTCTATCATGCCTACAAGCCAAATTTGACGCATTTTGAACTAAGTCAAGGGCAATAACGCTGAAACAATTCATCTGATTATTACCAATTTCAAACTTGACTGAGATCTCATCAATACATACAAGTTTCATGAAGATCTGATGAAAACTGTAGTCTCTATTGTGCCTGCAAGTCAAATTTGACGCGTTTTTACTTTGTCAAGGGCAATACCTCTGAAACCGTTGTTTCGATTATTACCAATTTCGAACTTGACTGAAATCGCATCAATCCATACATGCAAACCAAGTTTCATGAAGATCAGATAAAAACTGTAGTCTCTATCGTGCCTACAAGGCAAATTTGACGCATTTTTACTAAGTCCAGGGCAATATCTCTGAAACCGTTCTTTCGATTATTACCGATTTCGAACTTTTCCGAGACCTCATCAATATATACATGCTTACCATGTTTCATCAAGATGGGATAAAAACTGTTGTCTCTATCGTGCCTATAAGTCAAATTTGAACCGATTTTACTTAGTCAGGGGCAATAACTCTGAAACCGTTGTTTCGATTATTACCGATTTCGAACTTGTCCGAGACCTCATCAATATATACATGCTTACCATGTTTCATCAAGATGGGATAAAAACTGTAGTCTCTATCATGTCTACAAGGCAAATTTGACGCATTTTTACTAAGTCCACGGCAATAACTCTGAAACCGTTCTTTCGATTTTTACCGATTTCGAACTTGTCCGAGATCTCATCAATATATACATACATTCCAAGTTTCAACAAGATCAGATAAAAAATGTAGCCTTTATTGCCTCTATGTGAACGGACGGACGGACGAATGGGCCGACTGACAGGGGCAATATACGTCCACATTTTCATGTGGGCATATAAAAAGCGTAGCTGTTGATATGCTGAAATTTTTGATAAATCATGATCCAATTCATAGGAAGTTACATTAAATCAACATATCTATATTCATTTCTTGCATTATTTCAAGCTACATGAGATATATCAATTCATGAGAGTATTACATGTTCGATTTTGCGACAATAGGGACAATTTTACAGCAGTTCAAAGTTATTTCATATTGGGGACAAAGAAAAAAAACAGAAACATCAAATTTAAAAAAAAAATGCTTTTAATGGGTAATCTTTAAAATCAGTATTATTATTTTTCTGGAAAAAATTTATTTTCCCCTTCAACTTGTCTAGTATTTAGATTAATTCTCGAACAACTCATATACAGTTTATATGGTTTCCAATTCAAATTTTGTAAAGTCTTCTCAATTTTCTTATTTATTTCATGAATATTTCCATATTGGGCTTCATCACTGGCACTTTCTGACACATATTCTGAATTTAACGAAAGGGGATAGTGTGTAAGTTTAGGTGCTAAGATTTTAGGGATGCCATGATAAGCAAGTCTTGACTGCTTCCACATTACACATATATCACCGCTACGAAGAAACATAGCTGTTGGCTTAGTTTCTTTAGTTAATCCTCCCAACAAGAAAATACAGTCTTGTCCAAAACTAAATGAAATCAATGGGGCTCCCTGCTCAAATTCAGCATGATCAGTATGTCCACCCAAAGTTGAATCAAGATGGTAATAATTAACTATTCCAGCTTCAGGACAATAGTTTGGATAACCGATTGTTTGTGCAACAAATTTAGTTAATTCTTCCAAGTCTTCAGGCATGTCAGTGCGTCTTTCTTTGTGATATTCTTTATTATTCCAAACATAATGGTATCCTAATGTAGTCCATCTTAACCCCATTATTTCATCATTCTTATGGATTGAATCAGGATCAGTTTCTACAAAATTTTTCCATAATTTCGCCCTCTTTTCAGAATCCAATTGAATGTCCAAATTTGCCTTATTCTTTGCATCTGGATAGTCATTAAGACATCTATGAACCCAGTATTTTTGATATCCATCTTTGAAGGGATTCAATACAAATATAAAACCAGGGTTGTCATTTATTGAATAAGCTTTCCAGTCATGTACAGGTCTGAAGCCATTGATGTGATTTATATTTCCAGTAGGAATTTGTAACTGAAAGTTTGTAACCCTTTCATCTGGTTTCTCCGACTCTGATATAGCTTGAAAATCCAACACATTAGAAAAATCTGGTTCAGGTATTTTGGCTTTGTAATATTTATAAGTTGGTTTAAACTGATCATTTTCAGTAATGTCTTCATTATATTCGTACATTTTTCTGGGTTTTTTTTATACTTAATTTAGATCTAATTTAGAAATCACAATTATTTGCCACCTTGTGAAATTTTACAATGAAGGAAGTTGTCGAAGAGTTACCTTCCCAAACGATTACCTCCCTTCGAGCACCTGTTTTAAATTCACATCGAGGCTTGTGTGGATCATTCTTTCATTGTCTGTGTGGGAAGGAAGATAAGAGTATTCAGAAGCAATATGTCTAAATTCCAGAAAACAGTTATTCAAGAAGGAGATGGTTAGTTCAATAAGTCATATATTTATTTCAAGCGATAGTTCCTTTTGTTTGGGCAGTCGACATTCTATGTTCACAAGTAGCTGACCGGCATCTCTGTGCATAAATTTTAAGACGTAACCATTTTTTTTCGAAATCCCATCAAAAACGTAACCAACACTAACAGCTTTACTTTGAATTAAGCTTTATTTTAGATGTATTTTCTATATTTTTGATTATGCCTTTTTCATGGTAAGATTTTTTGAAATACAAGTATTATGCATTTTGTAATATATTTCTTATACAGACAAATGTTTGTGTTGAAAAAAAAAGGCTCTAAAAAGGATGCTAATTGTTTCATATTGGTAAAGAGAGGATATAAATAATACATGCAAGGATACATAAAAGGACAGCTGCACCTTTGTAGCCAAGCCAATAGTGTTAACAGCTCACTGTAGAAAGTCGAGCCTTCAAATCCATGTGTGTCTAGGATTATCCGCATTTGAATGTTGAAATGAAGACTCGTCATTTTAAGATTCACAGTGATATATAGACAAGACAATAATGAGTAAAAATCTTAGTTCCAGATATTTTTGAAGGAAACATTTCTTACATTTCTAGTACTTCAGAAATCGAAGCCCCAAAATAGTGCATCTGTCCCTTTAAGGGGCATTATGTGTATTTTAATATTAAGTTGTCTTATATATTCCAATTCGTATGCATGTTTAATGAATAGTTTGATTTTTTTTCAAGGCGCAACATATGCACAGAAGGGTCAAACAGTGAAAGTTCATTATACTGGTATGTATTTTGCAAATATTAAATTCATTTATACATTAGTGTCCAGCTTAATATATCTAGGCTGGAAACTAATTCTGTTTACATGTTTGTGCATGTTTTAACAACCAAATGACTGTCAGATGGGTGAATGCTTTACCCCAAAAAATGTAAGCCAGGCATAATAATGAAAAAATATAGTCATTGTTCATAAAATTGGAATGTATAGAAATTTAACCTTCATCTGATATGATACAGGTACCTTCCCTGATGGCAAGAAATTTGATTCCTCCCGAGACCGTGGTAAACCTTTCACCTTCAAACTCGGAGAAGGTGAGGTCATCAAGGGTGAGTAATTCTGAATATTTTAAGAGCCTCATGCTTACAATAATTCTCAAATTGGTGTTATACTTAAAGTGATTGTGATGACTACAGTGTATGTGAGTTAGTCATTTTTTTTAGCTATTTATTTTGTTTCTGATTGATCTGTCTACATTTGTTTTCTTTCAATAGTTTCAAAATGTTATCTTTCAATGTTCCCACAGAAAGACAACTGCAGCTAACAATAGCTAATTCTTCTTGGAGGTGAGCTTATCAGTACTTTGTTTATATAATGACTGTAATTATCTGTATTTCAGGTTGGGATGAAGGTGTAGCTAAGGTGAGTGAGTTTTTAATGCTTATAATTGTCATGATAATCATCAATTAATTGACACTTATTGTCCCAAGCAAAGTAAAAAGTTTTTTGAACTTTTCCCATTTTTTGAGGATTGAGACATTCTAAGGCTATCAGTTACTATTTTAAGGCTATATGCCAATTGTTCTAAAAAAATATCAATTTGATTTACAACTTTGTCTTCACACCCGATTAATATCATTCTAGTGTCTGTTATATATTTTGAGTAGTAAGAACAAATACTGAATCTTTTCTCTGGTCAAATGTTGATGTTTATTATCTGAATTTACCTAACATTGTGCTGCTTTATAATTTTAGAAAATTTCTGTATTTGTAGATGACAGTAGGTGAAAGAGCCAAGTTCGTATGTCCTCCAGATTATGCTTATGGTAAAGCCGGAGCAGGCGGAGTATATCCTTTTAAAATATTTTAATCTACCTACATATCTGCCCTGTGGTTGTATCTCTAGCAAAATTCATATCCATGAATTGGTCTGTCCACATTTGATTTTTAGATCTATAGTAATCGACTGATTTGTGTCAATCAGCAATTTGGTTTAAATCTGGATTACATACATACCAGTCCGTTTTTCTCAGGCAAATGTTGAAATAGTACTCTTTTACTTAAAGATTTAACTAATGCACAGTATTTTATGTTTATTTTTCCTTAATTCTGTCATACTATACCACCTAATGCAACTCTACATTTTGATGTTGAATTTCTGGGAATAGCTTAAATCAACAATGTTTATCTTGTCCTTGGCCAGTCACTGTGTTAAATTTTTATCAACTACTAAATTCCATTATTACAAACAAACTAGATGTGTTGAGGACAAAAAGTGTGATCTGAATAAGGAAAGTGACAATCTAACCTGTATTATGTGACTGATTTGTGCTGTTTGTGTTAAGCTTCATTAAGATCTTGCTCATTAATTTTCATTCAAAGCCAGGCTTTGTAGCATAATATTAGAGAATCTATTGACAATTGGTTTTCTTTCTGTGAAAGATACTTGTGGAATGTCAACTTTAAAACATCTACATCGGTGCTTGTTATACTTTTTTTTTATCCTTTTTGGTGCAACATTCAATCATGGCTAAGGATTTGGATTTATTAATATTGTTTTAAATGTTGTCATCTGTTTACATTCTACATTGAAATAAATGAAAATATTTCTTGTAATTGCCTGTTTTTATACTGTTTTGCTTCTTTTGAATCATGTTTCATGGAATGTGAGCTCCTGCCCTATGGAAACTCTTTGGGTTGTTAAAAATTCCAAATATGCAAGAAATATAGCAAGGGTTATTTCAATGAACTCTTGAACAATTGAAAATATGATTGAAAAAACTCAATTAAATAAATTGGATAGTGTTTCTGGAAGTTAGTGCAAAAATATTGGGAGTCCGATAAACTCTAATGATGAGGATTGGGGGGTTCTTTTGAGATCTTTTACCCATTATATTGAATTGAGAATTTCACTTGCTTCAAAATAAATAAATACTAGGAATTAAATAGATTCATTCTATATTAGCATAACAAATTACATACAATAAAAAAAATTGAGATTTTCCTGCAGGTTGTTCGGCTTTTAAAATTAAGATAGTCTATATTGTTATGTGCAAGTACCACATACAACAGATTTCAAGACTTAAGTAAATAACCATTTAAAACTGTCCACAAAAGACTGTACATTCTTCAGATTATTGACTTGCCTCAGTTAACTTCTGAAAGTAAAACTATACAGTCATCACCTATAAGGATATCACTGAATAACATACTTAAATAAATTCATTAAGAATTGCTCTTAACATGATTAAAACATGTACATCACAATATTAATCAATTTTATTTATATACAATTATACACAGAAAACGAATACTTTTTCTCAGTACCTGTACACACTTGGTTTCAAATGAATACAAACAATTCAACAGTTTTCCTTTGTTCTTGATTTCAATAATTAAAAAACTGAAAGGACAGATTTGCTAAGGCATATAATGTATGCTATGGATTGTCACGTACAATAATAAATGCTTAACATTAGCTTAATTTCTCTGGCAGTTTTGTATAAGATAAGACATGTATGCATATTCAACAATATTTATTACATATTCCTAGTAGGCTTACTATTTGAATAATAAAAAAAATATTCTTTTATTTCAGAAAAATATACAATTGACAACATTAATTGCATTGTTAACAAAAAGTAATCATAAAATACCATGTTTCAAAATCTTTCATTTTATCACAAGCCTACTGAGTAGCTTCCCTTTAATAGTCTTGAACAAATTCATACCAGTTTCATATGGTACCAAAATTAAACTTGATCTTTTTATTTCAGTTGTAAGTTTTTTACACAATTTAACCAATGGTAGTAACCCCAGACCCCAATATACAATAGCGATATATAGAAAGAATTTACATATCGATCAAATAGTACACATAAAAATGAAACTTCAATTTATTACCATTATAGTAACAATAAAAGACTCGAAAGGAACATTTTAAGTGAACAATAGTAAAAATTTTGTTTCGATCATTTTTTTCACCGTCTGCAGATTACAGAAACACGAACAAAAATGTTCGTGAGAATTGTTCGTGAAATCAAGCATGTTTGATTTTTATAAAATTGTTCGCCTCCCGAACAATTCTTTGTTCGCCGTCTGCGTTAACAACGAACATTAGCGCCGAACATTCATCACCGAAAGACCGATCAGCGATCAAAGCCAGACCACATGACACTCAAAATGGCGACATCCAGTGAATCCACCAACACAAAATTTTGGACTGTGGAGAAGGAGCAGATTTTAGTAGATATGTGGTCGCAATCTGCCTCAATATTGTGTTGAACCCATCTTTGTCAACCCGGAAATATTGCCGATACATTGCTGGGTCGTCAGCCGACAGCTCCTGTGCAAGGTTGCCAAACACACCCAGCTCTTTACGACGTCGAATCCAGGTATGGACCCAAATGCTCCTATTTCGCCGTCTATGTTGGCGTCTTTTTAAAATTAATAAAATAGCTAACGCAATTTTACATTTTCTTCTCCGCGTCGCCATTTTGAAGTCAGGTGATTTTCCGTGACACTGGCGTATTGTTCGAGCTAAATGTTCGTCGTCTGTGGATAACGGAAAACAAATATATTTGTTCGATGTTTTTGTTTTGTCGACAGAAATGTTCCTCGTCTGCGTTGGGCTTTAGAGATGAATCTATTAGACTTTACTAAACATGTGAAAGTCCAAGTTACCTATATTTCAGATCTGGTCATTGAACACTTATTTTTCAACATGTAAATAGAAATTTTATCCAAGTATTATTATGCAACAGAGTTCTGGAAACATAACTCAACTTTATCAATTGTTAGTAGTATACCACCAAGCCCTATCATATAGAGAGATTAGATAAGTCAGACAGTTTTCTAATTTCTTTTTCTTTCATTTGTTACCCATTTTTGTGCATTTTTGTTTCATGTAGTTGCATGTTAGTAGATTAATTTTGTGATATCCAAAGAAATGTCTAACTTTCCCATTCATGTTTGAGCTCTCAAGAGAGACATTAATCAAAACCGTTACAAGGAAAAACTGATCATTACCTTTTCAAATCATAATATAAAATGATGAAATTCCAAAAAACAACAAAAAACTTTCCGATAAATTAGCCCAAAATTATATAAGCATAATTTGTACATGTCATGACAAAAGATTGAAAGTACTATAAGCACTAGTAACATCTCATGATTTTAATTACAAATTTTGATTTCTAAAATATAATATCTACATGTACAAATCATATAGTTAATATAATAAGATTCTCTTCTCCACAGCTTTACGACATATTGGACATTCATTTAATCTGTCACCACACAGTTGACATGCACCATGTCCACATAAAAATATCATATTCTTTAATCTGTCCATACATACAGGACATGATGTCTGAAAATATAAAAAAAAATAACTATAAGAAGCAGTTAAATAATATTGATCAAAAAATTAATCAAATTAAATGCAATTATTTTTGTGTACACTATATTTCTGTTAATCTATATCTTTAGCCATACTTCATGGATTATTAATTTAATCATGTACGTTTATATAGTTTGTTAAAGAACAATTTTTTTAGTTGACTGACAAACCAATAAAAATCTATGAAAATTGAGCACTCAAGAATGCTAAGAACTGTTCTATGCAGTGAGCAAAGTAAATAAGGTTTCTGGTTTCTGTACACAATAAAATGTTTCAGAATACTTTGGTGTCAATAAATCTCACCTGATCTTTAATATCTTGTAATTGTTGTGATAATTTCTGTACATCACGATTGTTATCACGAGAACCGTTATTCATTACATTGGGTGGTAGTGGTGCAGGTGGCGCTATAAAAACAAAAATTTTGACAAGTTACTTTAAACTGAGGGTCTTTCTCTTCTCTTTATTAATTAAATGCACTTATATAAAGACTTTTGATTCCTAAAAATTCTATTATAAACTGTTTTGGTAAACTAAAACAATTCAAGTTCCTGATCTGAGCACCAATATATTCATAAAGACAGAAATATTTTTCAATTGAAATGTAAAATTACTTACGTGTCCCACCACAACAAACAATAAATGGTACAGTTTTCTCTATATTAGATCTACATTGTACACATTTCTTCATTAGAGCAGCACAACCTAATAAATATTACCATAAATACTTCAAATATATAATATAAATTATGTGAACTGCCTTCCCTATCAAGAGAATTCAAGCTTGCTTCAATATGTTTCTATAGATTTATAATCATTTGTGACTAAATATGTAACAAAATTTTTAACTAGATTTAAATATAGTATTATTCCAGATGAACCCATAAATATCATTACATTCTATTTTAGTCTTACCATCACAAGCACACATATGTCCACAAGGTTTAAACAATATGGTAGCTTTTTTATCTGAACATACTACACACTCTTCAATCTGAAATAAATAAAATAATCTTATCACTCAATAATGATTTGTTTGAATAGTAGAAATGACTAAATTGCCAAAATAATGCTGTATTCTATACATAAATGGGAGCAGGAAAAGTACTCTTAAGGAAATAGTAATAAATATAAAATGACCACTGAAATTGTATTTCCTGGTGAAAATTTAAGTATGTCATAAGAAACCAAAGTTCATTTTTATGCTTTGAAACATACCAACTTTAAGGTCTTCTATTTCATACAACATATCTAATAATTTAGCAATTCTTAATAATATTTACCTTTGTTCTAGACTGAACTTGTTCTTTACACATTAAACATTTTTTAACTCTAGGTGAACATAATGAACATGTAGCAATATGTCCGCAAGGTCCAAATAATGTATCTCTCTTCATATCAGAACACACCATACATTCTTCTAATGATTCCTGATCATTTCTTATAACTACTGTATTAGATGTAGGTATTGAGGGGCTGTTAAGTAGGAAGGTTAAGCTAAAAAATAATCCCAAATTCTTATCAAATTTTGAATTCATTTCTTAAAATTTGCCAAAGAAACAAAACTATTCTTAATTAAATGAATGTACAAAGCGCTGGACATTAAGAGCTCATTTTTATACACACCTTTAGTAATATAGTCTACCATCAACAACCAATTCTCTTATGTTATAATTAAAATAAATGAAAAGAGTTTAACGTTTTACTTTACATGATTTAAAGAATGAAATTAGCTATCATCTTATAATTTCAATTTCAGAAAATTTCAACATATTATGGGCATTTAACTAATTGTGGAGACTGGTGTAAATCAAAAATTTCACAAACCTGTTTCTTTCCTTGTGACATTTGGCTAAAGCTTTGCATAAGTTAGGGTCTGGACATAAATCTAATGGAGTCTGCCCTTTTTTGTTCTTAATATTTAAATCAGCACTATTAGCTGCCAGAAAACAGGCAATGGAAGCACTGGATTTCTTATCAGCACCTGGAGTTCCTAGTCCCATCAATAACTGGAAATAGAATTATAGTACATATATTATGCTTTCTACAAGTAAAAACAATTTTTAATTCTGTTTCTAATTGTCTGAGAGTGTTAACATGTTGAGGACAAAGGAACGAAGTGAGCCATGTAAAAGATCATTTAGAAATCAAAATTTAGTCATTGTCCGCTGAATTACAGAATATCTATGATCTTGTACTGGGAGGTGGATTTAGCTCTATTTGTAGAACAAATCTGGCAAGGAACAAAATGTCACCATCTAATGATCTTACCTTTCCAACATCTTGCATGTCTTGTAATTGTCGTAGTTGTGAAAGTGTATGATGACGTAAAGCTTCATGTAATGGAGTATCACCATCTTTATCTGGTATATTTAAATTACAACTTTCTCTCACTAACAACTGAAATCATTACAAATTACACACGGATTAGTTCTTTTTATGTTGCAAGACAATACCTTCTGTTAAAGCTTGTTAGATTCAAGCTGTCCAAATAATGTGGTGGGCACCACTTGCAAAGCATGATATGCTCAGCACTCTGCAACTCTTTGGAAATATGATAAATCATCAGAATGTTGAATCCTTACTTACCCTTACAATCTGTGTATGTTGTCTTTCTACTGCTAAATGTAATGGCGTCTGTAGATTAACATTCTGTATGTCCATATTTGCTTTACCCTATAAAGTAATATAAAGATGCATGGATTACTATCACTTTAAACTCAGGTTCAGGAACAAATGCCAATGAAATGTTCACCAAAATACATAGACATATCTTACTTTGATACAAAACAAATTTTTGCGCTTTAATTTGGTTAATGAAGACCAGCCATGCAAATTAGAGCTATTGCTTTTTAATACTTGTGACGTGAAAAACAAATATTGTACCTGTTGCACCAATAATTCAGCTACTTCAACATGATTATTCAAAGCAGCTAAATGTAAAGCTGTATAACCATCATCTTTTTTCTCATCAACTATCCACGGTCTAGGTAATTTATTTAACAATATTCTCATAGCACTGAAAGTATACAAGATTGTGGCTATAATCATTAATAATCAACTAGTATAACAATAGCTGAAATGTCCTATTGGAATGTTTAGAGCTGAAAAGCACTACATGGGTTTCTGAAGATTTCCAATTTCCCATAACATGGCCTTATGATATTAATCTGAAAAATGATATAATGCATCTTGACAAAAAGAAATTTTTACTTCTGTTTTATTGAGATTTGCAAACCCCATAGACATGTGAGTTATCGGAATTGTTAATACATGATCCACGTTAAAACTTTTTCAATATAAAGAAGATTTGTTCCAAAGGAGTCATTGACATAAATACAAAGTGAATTAATTCAAAGTCACAATTACAAATAGAGAGAATAGAAATGAATAATGATATCTGTTCATAGAGGTATTGACAAATAAAATAGTAGTTAGGCTATATATCTATTATATAATAATGGTTCAAGTGAAATGTATGAAATGGATTTATGTTGTCAAACTAGACAATAACACTGAGATAAAAAAAAAAGCTGAAAGTATAAATGTTAAATAATAATCTTATCTAGACAGTAGAATAAAATGAACAAGTTGTTTCTAAATGTCTTATTGATTTCTACTCTTTTCCATTTCCACACAAATTGTTTCATAAGCCAAGTGATTTTTCTTGTTTTCACTCTGATTCCATCTTCAATCTTATTATTAACTTTGGTCATGACATATGACTCCATGGATTTTTGGTTTATTCAACAGATAAATGTTTTTAGAATGTTAACCAAGGAGCAACTTGGTTCTTTGTTATTGACATTGTCTAATGTAACAGATATGAATTTTTAAAAACAAGATAAAAATATCATAGTTAAAATAGTGAATGATTGAGGTTTTCTTGTCCAGTTAACAACATCTTATTAACATTTTTACAAAATTTCTATAAATTAATTGTTTTAAAATAGAGTTATCTCCCTTTCCCCCTTATTAACTGTATCATTAAACCTGGTTTTCTAGTGCTCCAACCATCGCTGTTTTACTACATCCATGCTACACATGTACATTGATTGCAAACCATATCATAAGGAATTGAAATTTGATAATCAAGTCAGCTGAATTCAACCAATGAAACTTTATTGACTTTGTTAAATGGTATGATATTTGAAGAAAATAGTCACAAATTAAATTAGTTGTAAAGAAATGTAAAAGAGTCTCAGAAAAAGATAATTCTTCAAGTTAAAATCAAATTATATGAATAACTTCAATATATTTATGTTTTATGTATTTAAAAGTAAATCAACCAATTGAATGGGTATAAATAATATTAAATCTATCAGAGATTTAGTGAACTGTAACAAGAACTAAATCAACTTAAAGGAGCTATATCTTGAAAATATTCCTTCACATTAAAAAAATAACCTATTTTCAGAACAGATAACAAAAATCATTCTGAGAAGTAATCCACCTAGAAGAGATGATCAGTAAATGGACTTGATGAATTGGAGTAATGTAAAATGCAATTGTTCTGAGAAACATTTACTTTGCATTCATTGCAATTGACCTTCACCTGCCCCTAACCTATCACTGCCATTATGGTTTATAACCTGATGACTTGAATGACAAATTTCAACTTCTATCAGAAGATTTGCACAGTAAAGTGGTTTCTATTTACACTACAAAAAAAGAACTGCAAATGTAATTGCCGCTTGGTCCATAACCTCTACAAAACTAAAAATAAATGTCAGTAGTTTTTAAATAAGGAGCCAATGAAGATGATCTGATATCTAACCTTATCGTAACTGGAATTAAGTCAGAATTTTAAATATATGGTAAATCCAATAGTTGGGATTATTTTGTCTAGGAGACTTAAATGTGTGACTGGTGTGTCACCATCATCATTAGAAATTTACTTTCTGCTACTTACTAAATACAGTCTACAATTCCTTTAAACATCCTATTAAAGTAGATCTATTTGCTCCTATCATTATAGTGAAGGTAGTAAAATTGGAAATCATAAAATTTGGGCGCTAGTACTAAATCAATATCAATTATTGAGGAAGAACATCAACAAATACCAATTCCACAATTTACTTCATCATAATAATTTCAACAAATTGAAATTCTGCCAACTTCCACCAGAGCAGGGTGACATAATCTAACCATTATGTTTTATTTATTATTTCTAAAAGGTGTAAGTAGAAAGGTAAGGAAGATGTTCCTGTAAATAAAGAAAATTAACAGAAATCATTTAAAATAAACTACCAAGCCTTATTATAACCATCCTTATTTTGGCCAGAAAAGCAACCCCATTTAAAGTATTGTAATTGTTAATTGCCTGGAAACAAGATAATCTTAAAACTAATTTGTGTAAAAGATTTACGCCAATCACCTTTTAGACACCTATAATTAATTGTCGAAATGTCCATTCTTTTTTTTTTTTTTTTTTATGCAGGGCGTTCGTTTCCGAACGCCCTGCTTTATTTTCGTTAATCAAAAAAATATTCTTTTTTTTTTCTTTTTTTTTTTTTTTTTCAAATTCTTGACAGAGCTCACAGACGAAACAAAAATGTCAAACGGTACATATTTGACAAACCGTACATGCGTAGAGGTCTACCACTATAACAAACTACGGAAAGCACTGGTCTGCTTATTTACGGCTCGATTTACATACAATTTTCTGCATTGTATTGCATAAACGTAACGTTATACTGTGACACTTTAAATTATGCAAATTTGCTATTTTTTTTGCTATGAAATCAATCGATCTGAAATTTATATGGGAAAATATTGTCATGTTGATAAACCCAAATGTGTTTTCAGAAGTTTTGCATTATATCCAGTTTTTGCAAAAATTGCCTTCAAAGTCAGTTTTGCAACTTTTTAATTTTCACAGCTACGCCTAAAAACACATATGCATATCATTAGAAATATCATTCAAATTAAAATGAGCGAAAAAAATTTGACCGGAAGCGTCAATCCAGTCGCCATTTTGATTAGCGTAAGATTTCTTAAATACGATATTTCTCCCTCATTTGTTATCCGATTTGCATGTTTTTGGTGTCAATAGAAACCTAAGACGTTCGGCAACAATTCCTTGCAAGCCGAATTTTGAATTTTGATTTTGCTTTCTTTTCAGTTTTTAATGAAAATTTTCAAATTTGTTCAATATTTGAGGCTTTTAATCTCGTGACCTTGAACTCTTATGACCTTGAGTTTCATATGGCTTAATGTCCTCGACGATACCTATCCGATCGTATTTTTATTTTTTTTTTCCGACTATAACTTGCGATGTTATAGGCGTTTGAAAATAGCGAAATTTTCTTTTAAAGAGCCCTAGCAACCATTCTATTCATGTTATAACCATAATTTTCACACAGACATAATCTACGCATCGAGGGCTTTTCAGTGATATATAACATGTATACCTTACATGCAAATTCAAAACCCCATTCACTTAACATGGGACTATTATTAGATAAATCGGCTAATTAGATTAACCTGACTGTCAACCCCAATAGAAAAGTTTAAGTTGTTTTAAAGATACCCTCTCTTTTATATTTTTTTAATAATACATGTTTTACGTCCAGTTATGGCATATGAATAAGCTCCTTAGTGGTTTGAACCGTGTTATACTGTAAATTGAGCTTACGGAAGCACATTAAAGGGATACCCACACTTAATTTCCCAACTTTCTTAATTCTTCTCAGAATTTCATCAAACTTGGTATGTATGTGTATAATCCAATTCTAAATTTGATGAAAATATTGAATTTTGTTTTGCGCATGCGCATTACCAACTTTCTTATTTCTTATCCGATTTTCATGAAACTTGGTATGCATTTGTATAATCCAATTCTAAATTTGATGGAAATATTGAATTTTTGTTGTGTGCATGCGCATAACCAACTTTCTTATTTCTTATCCGAATTTCACCAAACTTGGTATGTATGTGTATCATATCCAATTCTAAATTTGTTGGAAATATTGAATTTTTGTTGCGTGCATGCGCATTTTTTTAATTTATGTAGGTCAACAAAATTTAGCTGATCTTTGGCAAAGAAAATTTTATGGCCGATTTTAAAATAAAATCCAGACCGGATTGAATTTTTTCAAAGTTTGAAAGCTTATTTCTTGTGACCTTGACCTTTGATGACCTTGACCTTCATACGGTCAAATTTTAATGACCTTGGCTATCATTTGATACTTTGACCTTTGACCTCCGTCATGTACTTCCGGTTTAATAGCTATCCGTAAAAAGCCAAATTCGCAACTTTGGACTGCTCTAGCACGTGACCTACCCTAGAGGGTAAATTTTTCGGTTTCCTAATGTGCTTGTCATGCACCTTACATAGATATATAACAATCGTTTTTTTAAAGCGAAATTGAAATTCGTGATTTTTCAAATTTGAGTTTTTTTTTACAATATTTGCGACTTTTTGAGCTTGTGTATGTATATCTTATGATCTATGTGATGTAGAACCTTGATATTTGGAATACAACTGGACACTTCGAATATGAATTCGCCTATGACAAAAAAATTTAGGTGGGGGCGGCACATCCGGGTTGAAGTACTACTTGTTTACATTTAGAGGCAGGGGCATAACTCGCATAGGATGCGTTTGTTCAAAAAGGGCCTTTGCACACAATTACCTCATCCTTTTGGCCAGTTTGTGTTAACAGCTCAGTTGCTTCAGCTTTATAGTTCCAAAAAAGGAACGGGTTTTAACATTTGGATATTTTCATTTTTCGATTTTGACTTTTGTTGACTTTTGTTGACCTATATCTTTTGACCTGTATGATGTAGAAGCTTGAAATTTGGAACACGACATAACATTTTGAATATCAATTAACCTATGCAAAAAAAATTGAGGTGGGCATGGCACATCTGGTTTAAATTACTCATTATTGACATTTTTGGCCAAGGGCATAACTCCCAAAGTATACATTTGTTCAAAATGGAACTTTGCATACAATTATCTCATGTTTTGAGCCACTTTGTCTTAGAAGTTCGGTTGTTTCCGCTTCATAGTT